TTGAATAATTGTTATTTTGTTTTTGAGAGTTTAATTATTTATACAAGTATCATTTCATTTTTATGTTTTGTTTGTTTGTTTATAACATTTTTATAACATGTGCATTGTTCATGTATTTAACAAAAATCGTTTCATGCTGTAAACAACACAGATAAAGAGTAAATTAAAACCTAAGAAATTATGTGCTGTCTTTTTGTGCGGAGATTTTGATTTTGTGTATTCAGAGCGTACATTAGAGCCTTGTTGAATTTACTAATATTTTCCTACCCTGACGAGAAAATATTCTAGCAAATTGGAATAATCAATTTAGAGATATTGGTTCAAAAACAACTATAGCTAAGTAGCTTCCCGTATGGGACCTCAGTACCTGCTGGGAAACTAGCTAACTAACCAAAAAACTCTTCAGTATTGAATATAGGTAGTGTTGATTGAATGTTATGTGTGGAATTAAAATTTTAGCACAAAGACAAGGGATGGTACCTAATTTAAACTTTTATTGACTTAAATTATTGAATTAATGACTCACAATTATTATTAAAATGACACAGTATGTTTCGATTTTTGAGGAATGTTAGATCGAGGGTTTCTCTGCCGTGCTCTTTCCCCTCGTTAGTTCCAGGATGAGAACGGTACGATTTACTTTGATAATAAAGTAAACGTTTCACAAATTTTTCGTTTCTTTTACATATCACAACCTCCCTTAAATTTCCCCAATATTTGCTATGTCGAGCGCATGTCCAGTAAGTAAAATTAAGTAAGTTTCCACAACGTAGGTCCGATTTGTTTTTCATTTCATTTTTCAGAAGATTTGTCGTTTTAAAAGGTAATAAAAATTCACACCGTTCAATCTTACTGAACGAACCCGGGTATGTTATACTACAGTATAATAGCTATATTATACATATACTACATTATACGCTCGTTAAATAATATACTATTAATGGTGTTTTTGTTAACAACACAATGTTGTAGAACAAAAGATCACAATAATTGCACAGTAAGATATGACAACAGAATTTAAAAATGTAGAATACTCACATTCAATACTTTCTTTTTGGTACATTTCTCTTCCTTAAATCACTTTGTTTGTATACGAGTATACATAGCTATGGTACTTAACTAAATTGAACACAGAAGAATTCTTTGGTTGAATAATAATAATAATAAAAAGCTACTTCTTTGAATTTAATTTGAGTACAAGTGGTGCAAAAAATATAAGGCTTTTTCAGGTTTCTGTTGACCATTAAGTACACAATTGAAATCATTCCATTACTTCCAAACATCTGCTGCAACAAATGGAATCTGCCTGACAATCTTCATTGCAAATTGTGCAAAACCAAAAAGGATTCAACTTTTTTTCATCATATAATTTAAGTACATGGCTCCAGCTTGCATCAGAAAAATATTTTCTCAATATCAAAACTGTTGCCATGCCATGTCATTGTTAACTATTCAAGCATCTGAAGATCTCTCTCTTCAGTATCCATTCGGGCAAATGGAGTTATTGTTTGCTTTGTTTTTTTCTTTGGAATACCAATTACAGTTAAATTTGCCACTTTTGGCCAACCTCGTTTGGAGACTTTCGGTGGTAATCTAATATTCTTAGTGGATGATGGTGGTTGTCTCAAGGGTGGTCTTGGTTGAGTTATTTTTGGCATTACGTCATTTTCATTATTTTCCTCTACGACTATAGAAGAAGGTGAACCAATTCAAGAAAAATTTATACTTGAGTGGTTTTCTTACCAGAGCTCAAACAATATATGCTTTTTACGAGTTGGGGTATGACTATTTCCTATATTTAAACAAGGCATTTCGTTGAAGCTACTGATCTCAAAAATAAATGGATAAACAAAGAACGCTTCTAATGCTGCTAATTTACGAAGTCATAATGTAAACAACTGGGGACAGCAGTGAGCGTGCGCAGTAGATACATGTACTGTGCGTGCGCAAAATATAGCCAATGAAAATTGAAGGATATTGCAAAATTAGAAAAATAAGACACTGCGCAGGCGTTACTTTTCCGTTGCACAACTGTTCATAGAATATTGACCCCAAATTTTTGCACAATTTTAGCCAATCAAGCCGTACGATTGCTTATCCATTTATTTTTGAGATCAGCGGTTGAAGCTGACAGGTAGAACATTACATCCCAAATCAATATAAGTATTGTCTTTCATTCAGATCGTCTAGCTCTATACTATTTTCTGCAAAATAGCTAATAACGCTTACTATTTTTGTATCTTTCAGTTCTGCTTATAATTAATTGGTTATAGACCTCTTCATTTTTAGCATATACCTATCATTTTTTGAAGAATTTCTAAACAGAGGTTTCGTTGTCCTCTAGTTATATGTCTCTTTTCAAATAATATTTTTACGCCTTTGAATAGTACAGTATTATTAATTTTTTATTTAACGACTCACTTCAACTTTCCATACTAATGGCATTGGCGATTTCCATTTGTCAATCAGTGCGCACCGAGTATATCCTCATCTTTTTCTAAAAGCATGTAACATGTAAAGATATGGATACATTTTTTTTGCACTGGTTCGACCAATGGAAATCGCTATAACATATAATAGTTAGTGTGCACTGAGTGTATTCGTGTCTTTTTCTATCAGCTTGTATAAGAAAGAGATAAGAAAAAATTTGTTCTGCGCTTGTCTCAATTTTTGCCTATTACTGGCTCTTGAATCTCCCCCAAATGTCTTCAAACAAAGAAAATTCAAGAGCCTGCAATAAAATCAATCTTTCTTTAAGTTGGCAACGCTGTTAATCGATATCCATGTAGCAACACGACAGTTTGACAAGCGACAAAGTAGGCTTTGGAAAATTTCAAAGTTTCAATTTGGCGCCCAAAGACACCTGTAATACCGACATGGCAATACAGTGAAGCTTCACTAATCCGGATCAATAAAAACCAAGGCAATCCGAATTAATGAAACATTCGGATTATTGGAACCTTTTGAAAAGTCACAAAAATACGTCAAAAACTGTAGTTTATTAACTCAAAATAGGTGCTAATAACATAGTACAGTAAATTTTTGCAAAATATCGTGTTTTTCCGCTAGAGTTAACGTTTTGTGTGCTCTCTTTGGCGCCATTATGCTTCCTACCAAGCTTTTCACCCTTGTCACAGAAACAAACGCATCGTTTTCGGTGAAATAGGGGGATTCACCGACATAGACGTTGGTAACACCACCTGTAGCGATTTGCGAACTGCGAAAAAATTATGATCCGGATTATAGAATCACAGGTTATCCGGATTATAGAATACCTAATGTTAACATCTAATATTTTAATTTTGTCCGGATTACTGGGAAATCCGGATTAATGGAGTTCAGATTAGCGAAGCTTTATTGTATATATTTCCAAAACCTGCTGATAACAAATTCTATAATGGAAGGCTCAGTGCGCACTGAAGTCTATTCGTGTCTCTTCCTAACAGCTTGTATGAGAAAGAGATAAAAAGACATATGTTTTGCACTTGTCTCAATTTTTGTCTATTACCGGCTCTTGAATCGCCTCTAAAAAAGCACTCAGAAAAATTGAATACTTAATTGATAAATCACCCCAAATTGCTTAACACGATTTTATCTCAGGAACTATGAGTCCAAATGAGTTGAAATTTTCAGGGATTTTAGTCCTCTACTGGGATAAAAATCGCTGAAAATTTCAGCTTTCTATCTATAATAGAAAAAAAAGTTATGACCTTTCAAAGTTTTCTGACGTCCTTTTTTCATAGATTTCGGCTTCACATCTCAGAATAATTCAGTGTATGGAGTTTGTGGGGTCCCAAATGATCATTAAAACACAAAATCTTACATCCCATGATTAATCACTTTTTGACAAGGCCGATAAATAGCAAATAACTAGTTCAATTATCGAGAACCTAATGTTTCTATATAATAAAAACACTAAAATTCAAATAGTGGCTTATTTACCTTGACAGGTAATTGAGATGAGAAGCAACTTTATAAAAGCTCAATTTAGGACAATGATTTGCCTTAATGGATTTTCTCAAAAACTGGAACATAACTGCGCACTCACGGTTGATTTGATAGGTTAATTTACATTGGGATTTTACCTTATCATGCTTAAATAGACAAGTTGATTAATGACAAAAATCATTATGATAATCAATTACTTACAAACAAGGTTTTCATCAATTTATTTTGAAATACAACAAAAAATACCAAGAATTTAACTGCAAAGAATCTTTATGAAACCAATAATAGCTTATAGATATGAAAAACAAAGCAGTTTTCTTTGTGCCTAAACAACAATAACTCAAAGCGTACAATAATGTAGATCTCCACCTACTCTCTATCGCAAAACCTAGATCCATTATTACGGAAAATACATTAATAAAAACTTCTTTTAATCGATCCCGGCTAATTACTTCCTGAAACCGGAACAATTTGTTAATTTTACATTTAGATAATTGCCATAGTTGGAATTTAAATGGGTGAAGATATAGTAGTATAGGTAGGTACTCCCGGAAATAATTTTGTATTATAAATAAATATTACAACAAAACTGGGATATTATGTATAATATCGAGTACCAGCTGTTGATGCTGTATGGTACTACCACACAAAGCATTTTGATTATTACTAGAAAATGGATTGATTATTACCTGTCTTGTGCATCATCCTATTAATCAATTCACTTCAATTTTTTTTCAGGTACCTACTCAGAAAATAGTCTTATTAAGGCAAAAAAAAAACCAAGATTCATCGGTTCTAGTTAGGTATTTATCCGAAGGCAACAATGCTTTGAAAACAACAATAAATCCACAAGAAGATTTTTTGTGCTCTATGGGATGTGCTTCGCTGTAACCCATTAATAATTAACTAAAGAAACAAAATTAAAATGAGAAAATTGGTATCCATTTTCCTTTTCAGCTGAGTCACCCAATGCCAATAAAATCACTTAAAAGAAGTTCCCAGGATTTTACTCATAAATAAAACACTTATTGGTAAAATATTATTTATTTAATCAGCCCAGCACCCTTTAGAGTAATATTGGTTAATGCACATCAATCACCTATTTTAAAATGTACAAAACCAAAATTATTGTCTTTTGCCCAAAGTGTACTTAAGCATATGTAAAGGCTTGAGTATACTTTAAACATTAAATCCCAAATAAACTATACAATAATAATTATATTATTAATCTCTCTGGATGGTTCCAGCTTTAATATTTGATTTTTACTTTTTAATTTATCAGTCTTATTACAAAATCCTTCCATATTGCATCCTGTTAGATACAGACGAAGACGATTGTCCAAAAACTGGACTTTCCTGTAACAACAGTTTACTGCCAAAAGCCGATCCGCTGCTACTGCTTGAGAATAAGCTCCTGAAAAAACATACAAATTAAGTATACAATTGATTTTTAAGCTATAAATACCTTGTGTAATATTGTACTCCATGTTGAGATCTTTTGGCTTTCAATAGAGAGCAAGCAGCCACTACAACTGCAAGCAAAAATATGAGGCCCAAAATGCAAAAGGCTATCGCCATTTTGTCTATCGACACGCAAAATGTCCGGTCGCCTGGTATTTTTGGAAATGGATACGTGTCGAAATCTGAAACAAATATTGGTGTACCTATTTGGATTTGACCACCCACCCAGTCACTATACTAAATCTCCAAGACAAGAAAATTGTTTTAGTTATTTTGCCCGCGCTCCGGTCATAATACAAAATCGCCTTTTTGTTCTACATTATTTAATCTTGCCCAGGTAATTTATCAATTACGGCGTGAACAATAATGCGCAAATTACCGAGTGCTAAAGTGATTTATCAAGCTCAGATGTTTACTTTTTCCTTTGTGTATAGATGGATTTTACTGTCTAGAATGTAATTTAGTACTTAATTGAGATGGAAATGGGGGTATCATGCACGGTGCAATGTTTGCCTCAAGGGGGTATGATGATCATTATTGATTGGTAAAAGTATAATAATTCTACAAATAGTTTTTTAATAAGGACCGCCATATATAGCAGGAGATAATAGTTAAATTGACAAATATAATAGTAATTCTATGGAAGAAAGTAGGCAGAACACAACGTCATATTATAACCATTCTCTATTCTCTGGATATAGATTTCTCTCAAATTTTGCCAGGTATTGGTAATTTTGCAATAATTTCTTCCTCTTCTATATCAATGATGTCTTGTGACCCAAAAAATTAATTTTTGTAGAAACTTATTGAACATCCAACTATCAAATTTGACTTTGACATCTGTCAAAAGTTGCCCAATTTAAGAGGAACGAATATTTAGGTATCTATGCAAATGATACAAATTTGAAGTTTACCTAATGGACATTAAATCGTGTTTAATCGTCAAAATAATTCGACATTTGACAGAAATTAATTCTTTTACAAGCTTATTGGACATTGATCTATCAAATTTGACTTTGACATCTGTCAAAAGTTGTCCATTTCAAGAAGGACGAATTTTTATCAATGAAAATGACACTAATTTGAACCTCAATGAACATTAGATCGTCTGTAAATTTCAAAATAATGACATTTGACGAAAATTGATTTTTTCACAAGCTCATTGGACGTCGATCTATCAAATTTGACATTGACATTTGTCAAAAATTGCCCGATTTAAGAGGGATGAATTTTTATCAATGAAAATGACACAAAGAACCTCGCACACCTTATATAGGATTCCAGCGATCGGTCGATTTTTCCCAAATTTTGATATGTTGTAGAGGATTTAGGGCCGGATTTAGAGTCGCTCCTTGAGGTTTCCTCAGACCTTAAGGAAGCCTTGAACGTTTAGAATTGACATGACTAACTTGTTAAATAGTAGCAAGTATCCATTCTAAACTCACGACCTCCAAGGAAAATTCAAGGAACGACTATAAATTCGACCCTTAATTCTTAATAACCTTTAAATGGGACGAAATCTTGTAGGTATTACGGTCTTTGAGATATGAGCGTTGAAAGATGAACTTTTTTGCGACTTTTTGTGTGGAGAGTATACGAAATACTAGTGTTTATCAGTCAAAATATTGACAGGTTCACATATTTTACGTCACTAAACATTTGTCAACATAGGCTAAGGCCGGGACCGCACTGGGGTCAATGGTGGAGCCAGTGTTACCCCGCCCTTAGCCCATGTTGACAAATGTTTAGTGACGTAAAATATGTGAACCTGTCAATATTTTGACTGATAAACACTAGTATTTCGTATACTCTCCACACAAAAAGTCGCAAAAAAGTTCATCTTTCAACGCTCATATCTCAAAGACCGTAATACCTACAAGATTTCGTCCCATTTAAAGGTTGTTAAGAAATAAATCCTCTACAACATATCAAAATTTGAAAAAAATCGACCGATCGCCAAAATCCTATATAAGGTGTGCCAGTTATTATAAAGGAATCTAATCCTATGTACAGTTTTTGAATAATTGTCATCTGATTATAAAATTTTGTATATTGTCGTATAAATCTGCATTCATTGGTCGATCGAGTGTACGCCACTGGTGTCACCCTGTTTATTACAACCGAGGGGGTTACAACTGGACCAAAATTTGTACATGTATTGCACATTACATCAACATGCTTTTTGAAGTAGTTCCGGTAATTTCAATGTGTAATGTAAAACATTGTTGTCTTTACATATTGGTAGTTTTCCAATGGTTAGAATTTTACGAGGGGCGACTTACTCCCGAAATCGCTGTACCTACATTTACATCCGAAATCGCGAACAGCGAAATCCTATTGGTAATCCCGAAATCCCAACCGAAATCCTTTTGAAATCTCGAAATCTCAACCAAAATCCTTCGGAAATCCCGAAATCCGAATAAATTTATCGAAATTCTTGAAATCCTTAGTAAGACGGTGTTGAAAGTCGAATATCCGAAACATTTCATAACCCTTTGAAAATTGTCGAAATCTTATGCGATTTTCGAAATCGATGTACAAATTGTAGTGTGAGTGAGCTGCCCCTCGATAAAAATCTAAGTCAAAAAAGACTTTGAAGCTTTGCACCTGCAAAACTATTGAAATTGCATTGAAATAATTCAGAGTCAGATTATAGATCGGATTGAAATTAACAAAGCTGTGAGGCAAAATATGTGTTGGTGTCATTTTGGATAAAAATCTAAGCCAAAAAAGAATTTGAAGCTTTACAGCTGCAAATAAACTATTGTGGTGGTATTGAAATCATTCATAGGAGATTTGTAGAGAGTTTAATTGACTTTAATTGAAACCTAATTACGTTAAGATCGGATTGAAATTAACAAAGTTGTGAGTCAAAATGTGTTTTTAATTTTCATCCGAAATTCCTTGAAATTTTTTCGAAATGCTTTGGAAATCACGAACAGCGAAATCCTATCCGAAATCCTCATGAAATCCCAAAATCCTTCTGAAAATCCGGAATCCCAACCGAAATCCTTCTGAAATCCCGAAATCTCAACCGAAATCCTTCTGAAATCCTGAAATTCCAATAAGTTTTTCGAAGTCCTCAAAATCCTTAGTGGTACGGCATTGAAAGTCGAATATCCGAAATCTTTCGAAATCCATTGAAAATTGTCGAAACCTTTTGCGATTTCCGAAATCGATGTACAAATTCTGGTGAGTGAGCCGCCCCTCGGCTGTAGCTAACTCCCGAAATCGCTGTACATTTTCATTCGAAATCCCTTGAAATTCTTTCGAAATTCTTTGGAATAAATCCCGAAATCCATTCGAAATCGCGAACAGCGAAATCCTATCCAAAATCCAAACCGAAATCCTTCTGAAATCCCCTAATCTCAACTGAAATCCCAAACGAAATCCTTCTGAAATTTCAACCGAAATCCTTCTGAAATCCCAATATATTTATCGAAATTTTCAGTGGTACGGCCGGCGTTGAAAGTCGAATATTCGAAATCTTCCGAAATCCCTTGAAAATTTTCGAAATCTTATGCGATTTCCGAAATCAATGTACAAATTTTGGTGAGAGCCGGCCACGCCCCTCGAAATTTTATTAGTTTATTAGGTTAATATTTTATTTCTGGATTTATCCTATAGGTCAACAGTTGAAATGTTTCTTCTGATCCAATGATTTTTATTGATTCATAAAAAATGCAGGCCTTGTCCTACAGATTCTAGAACATCATTGTCGTAAGGCCATATGAAATTTTCTATATCATTTTTCAAAAATTGAATTATGTATTGGCTCATATGAATAAAACAGGAGCAAATGCTTTTACTCAAGTTTTTTGAGATAAACATATTCAGCTTTAATGCAGCAAAAAGAGATCGGTGTAGAGTAAAAGAATTTTTGCTATACTTTATTCATATGACTGATTATGTTATTTTTGGATTGTACGCAAAAACGAAATTTCTATCTTAACATTTCAATAGCTATCTGATAATAATGATGGTAGTATGGATACCAAATTTTGTACCACCATTATAAGAACCTTTGAGTAGATTTCAAGTATAGTCAAGCTAATAGAGGAAAGTGAAACTCGTTTTCTCCTATCTTCAGTTGTTTTCTCTCTGCAAATCGCTAACAACACACAAACTTTTTATTTTCTACCAATGAAATTCCCTCCGACTGGTTTGTGGTTTCTGTGAGAATAGACCTATATAGGGTGTCGTTCTAAAACAAATACATATTTTACGGTAACTTTTTTTTTGCTTCACCTTGTATATGTGAAATTATTTTCATTTTATAGATACACAAACTTATTTTAATATTGGGGTTGGTATTGTTAACATGCATGAATATGATCTCTCAGTGAATATTTGGAAAATTCGAGGGTTAAAATCAACCGTAACTACATTGAATGCAAGCGTAAATCCACGATATTCGTACGTAATGCCTACCGTGCGTTCGTTATTTTGGTCTGAGTTCTCCGAGCTTGACTTTACCGTTCGTTTATTCAAAAAGTGTACTCGGTGTATCCTCATTCGCGTTCGTTTATTAAAATTTCTGGCACTTTTATACAGCGTTCAACTGCTCTGTTCGCTCGCTGGTCACGTGGTTACGGCTCCGCTCTGCACGCTCTGCTCTTCGAGCAAAATACCGAACGCAAGGCTAGTAATGCCAACATAATCCCTGGTTATACCGAGAAATGTCTCATGGTGCCAAAGTAATGCCACCTTAATGCCGGTAATTTCGCAGTAATGCCAGTGGTAATACGTCGTTATACACACGTACTTAATGCTTCGTAATGCAATAAAATTTGTAGGTACATGTATGGCCACCAGTTGTTACCCCCTCGATTACAAACCCCTTAACCTTTCATGTTAGAATGAATTTAATCCCATGTACTGTTTTTGAATAATTGTCATCTGATTATATAGTTGATTTTGTATATTTTCGTATAAATCTGCATTTGAGTGTACGTCACTGATGTCACCCTGTTTCTTACAGCTCCCTTAACCTTTTATGTTAATATAAATTTGATCCCCTGTACAGTCTACAAACTGTAAACGTCAAAATAATAACATTTGATAGAAATTGATTTTTTTTACAAACTTAGGCTGTGGTCCGAATGTAACCAGGGTTGTGGTTGCGTGGTCCGAAAGTAGGTAATCAAATTACTCTGGTACCTGGAAAAATGGTTACTTTTTT